CCCCCTCCCCTCCCCTCGCCCCCCTTCCCCAGGCGACACCCTGGCTACGCCACTGCTTTCCCGCTCTATTGGCAAGAGCCGAGCAAACCTTAATTATATCGTAATTCTGTCGCATCTTTCTTCTACACCGTCGGATCATCCGCCCGACCTACCGGTTCGAGCTTGAGCCTCTCCTGCAAATCATCCCCTGCGAAATCGGGCCGCCAACTCAATCCAACCGTTTCTCGCCTCGTCTTCCCATTATCAAACGGTCACCTATGGCTTCTCGCGTTGCAGATGACCTTGAAACCCAGTCCCTGAAGGAATTCTCGTCCAGCACGATTTCATACGGACCTCATCGAGGGAGACAAAGCAGAACGGAAACGGCCAATCTCTTTCGTCGAATCTGGTTGGTTGATCTGATGCAGAACTCGTTTTATCATTATTATTATTATTTTTTAATAGGAGTTAAATTAGGTTTCGCCCATCGTTCAATAATTCGCTTTCTGCATTCGGCATCGCTTCCATCCCATTTCCAGCATCATTTTGAAATTTTTGACGCTTGCGAAAATGGAGAATTTTTTATGGCGATGGAGATGTTCCAAGCCATTTGTTATTTTATTAAATATTTTTTTTACAAGCACTTTATTAAATGGAAAAAACTTTCATTCGAGCTTTTCCACCGAGCAGCACTTTCATGGAATCGAATTCCAGCTGAACTCTTTGCACTACTAAAGCCAGGAAAAAGCTGCACTGCGGAGCAATGTGACAAATGAACAACATCTCCGCAGTTTTTCTTCTGGAATAAGCGAAATGTCAAAATTCAAGGTTTTCCGCTGCGTCGCGTGCACAGGTTTTCGAGTCCCATCGGCGATCCGTAGCGACTTCTTCTATGGCTTATCTGAGGGAGCGGTAGGCTCCTTTTCCTTTAAAGGTCTTCTTCTATCCCCAGTGGGGAGCGGTAAATTCTTTTCGCCGTTCCGCACGGCATGCTCAAGATCTTCTCGACTTCAATTCCCTTTTTGCTCTCTTTTTGGTCCTAGCACGGCACCCAAGAGGCAAAAAAAAACGTAATTCCACAAAAATAGGACGACATTGCACAACACTGACGTTCGAAAACTCCTCTCTCACGGACTAACAAAAAGACAAATATGACGGATCGAGTTACATTTCGCAAGAGTAGCAATTCCTCTTCTCCACGCGAAATTGCTCGAACCGGTCAGTTTCCATGCAACACCAAGGCAGGCAACACAATTCGAGCAGTTTCTCACATCGATCGAGTTCAAAAATGAAGATATTTCGGAAACACCCGTCGGTCGGGCCGGTTCGGATTCACCCACCGTCCGATGTTATACCACTCTCCACTTTGGAGTGTACCACTCTCCACTTTGCCTTAGGGGACTCTCTTGACTGAACGCTCGACCTCGACTCGGGTTTTGGCAATGCGGACGGAAATGCCTCTTGACCGTCCCGACCTTGAACCATTAATTTCTGTGAATATCGCCGCTCGTATCCAGGGATCCATCACAGGTTCGGCTTGAAAATTCCAAGACTGCAATCCAGATTTCAACATTCAGCTTCTTTTCTACGAAAGACTCTCAGAAAATAGCATATCTCATGTCAAAACTGGACGGATACTTTAATTTTTTTCTTCTTTTTTTTTTCGCAGAAATGACAAAAAGAAAATGCCAGAACTGCAAGGAGTTTTCTGCTTTTGGACTGCGTAGCTACGAAAGAAAAGGAAACTTGGACATTCGAAATCACCTGTCCACTAACCTGAAGATATACATGGGAGCAGGCGACTTGCGGCCCTACGTGGAAGCAGCCGCCGCTTACATGCGCGAGCATTACCCAGACGCCCACACGAAAGCCAATTCACTGCCTGAAGGGTATATTCTAGCACGGAAGAAATTCGATAAGCACGTAGAAAAACTTGAAGACGTGGAGAGCCTCCAGCCGGGCGATCTATCCGTCGCCATGGTCTTCGATCGCCTCAGGAATGCTTTCAAGGATGTGCCGTCTCTCACTGTCTTTGATTACTCCTTTGCAGAAACCTTTCTGAGGGGTATCGATGAAGAGCATAAAGAGTTGCTGATCAAAAATTCTAGACTCGATGAAGGAGACCTGGAGGATGGCGATCATGATGTCTTCAGCATTGGAATATCGGACAAAAATATATTGGGACTTTTCATTCAAGTAAAGGGAGTTGTTCCACGCTCATCCGAACGTGCGATCAGAGAAAAAATCTCGAAGGCAAAGAAGCAAATCAAAAAGGACTTACGTTTTTTCAGGATCATGTGCGGTGAATTTCTGAATCCGAGCGTTAAGCTTGCGGGTTTTATAGCACTGCCGATGCTCTCAAATTCGGATTTGCAGGATGTGATCAAATGCGATCATTGCAGAGCACATATCATTACCTCTGACGATCTGCACGATCCACGACGTTTCAAGGAGTTCCTAGCGAGACACGGCATCTCCTTGGAGTCCTGGGATGCCTCATCCCCCGCCACGCAGACCTTCAAGGACATCCTCGACCTCTACGTGTGCGCCGCAGCAGCCGTGGAACTCCCAAAAAACCAAGCCGAGTTCCTCGCCCAAAGCGAGGAACAAATGCAACGGTTGCTCGTGCTTCTCACGCCCGAACAGAGGAATTTAGTGGAGAGTAATTCAGAAAGGATTTTCATATTTGGCGGAAGCGGAACGGGGAAGACGATAGTCCTCGAGAAAAGAGCTGAGAAATTGGCGGAGACAGCTGAAGTGTTGGTGGTGAACGTTGCCGGAGGAAAACTGACGGAGCAATTACGGCGCGACTTCGAAGGTGAGATGAATTTGCATACGCGCGCGAGGTTAAGAACGGACTCGATCAGGAGTAATTGTTCCTGTATAGTCATCTTGCCATAATAATATAAGGTAATGTAGCTTTGGTGGTATAAGTAATGCAACTAACGTAGCTCATTTCAGCTTCTGAAGTTTCATTTCCACTGCTGGACGCCTAATTTGCTTTAAAAAACCGGTTTGGGGCTGTGTACTGCATTAATAAAAAACATATTTACATGATTAATTGCAATTTAAATTCACATAAAAAGTTCCTGGAAGACGTGTCTAGATGGCAGCACATGTCTGACCAGTCTGAAGACCCCCCTGCATGCATTTGCACTTACGGGTATACTCGTCAAAGGGTTGAAGGTGCAGATGACGGCATTTGGCTTGCAAGCCAGAGTGAATAATATAAAATCCTGGTAATTTTGCGATTTAGAAGCGTGTGTAAATTCAAGGAAATGAGACTGGTATTATCTTTCTCATTAGGGAAAAATGCTATCCAAGTGATCGATGGCGACCCTGAACCTTCCCTGGATGAGGACCTTGAAAGGTTGAAGAATATCCTAAAGGAGAAGGGAAAAGAAAAGCACATCCTCATCGATGAAGTCCCTATTACACTAGGATTTCGTGGGATTTTCACCCCAGAAGCTCTTTCGACCCACTGGCAGGAGTTTCTGGAAAGCTTGAAAGACTGTGAAATCAAGTCCGTCACTATTGCCTTCAGACCGAATGATCAGTCCTACTCCAATGATTTCAGCCCCGAGGACTTCAACCCGGGTGAATCGTGCGAAGTGAAGGTCCTGAAAAAAATCAAGAGAAACACAAGACATATATCTGAATTGTTCCTGGCCATTGGGAACTTTCGGAGGCAAGTCTTTGTGTCATCTGAGCCTTCTCTCCGGCTGAACATCAGAAATTCAAGGCGACCGAGCTTGGACACAGCTTCAGGGGAACAGTGGCTACCCCGCTTGTACACGTTCCCATCATGCCAAGCCCTTCATTACAAATGCAAAGATCCCACGATCTGCCGTGTTGTCAGAGCCGCCTCCGCCCTGAAAGTCATTCACGATGAATACTCGAATACCACCGAAAAGGTCCTCATTGTCGTAGTTGATGATGAGAAAGTGAAGGTAGCTGCTCTCGTCAAAATGCTCACTTGTCTTTACCCTTCAATCCCGCTAATATTCTACAGTCGCTCTTCTTCTGGTTTGCGGGAAAAAAAGAAGGGCTCGCTCCCCCTGCTTGTTGTGGCTGAAAACGAACTGATGGGCTGTCATCAGAAGCATGTCACAGTGGTCTTGGATTTCCCGCAGTCACATTGGACGAACTACATTCGACTGATAGCAGCAACTGGTGCAGCTACTGGTGCAGCTACTGGTGCAGCTACTGGTGCAGCTACTGGTGCAGCTTCTGGTAGCAGCTACAAGATAATCGTGATTGAGAAAGAAGAATTGACCACTGGGAAATTCTCTGGTGTAATGAAGAAAGTTCAAGGATGGACACCGGAGCAGAAGGAATTTGACAAAAATTTCGATGGAATGATGGACATGGCACTGCAGAAATTCAAGAACGAAAGCATCCTTGAATTGGAGGAGAAGGACTTGCCTCCCTTCGACATACAAGATACTTGCGTCTGGAAAGAAGAGGAGGAGAAAGGGGATGACACGACTGGTAAGGCAGTAGTTATTGGAATATTCGGATACCCAGCTTCGGGAAAATCCATGGAAGTGGACAGAATCATGCGACAATTCATGAAGCGTCGGCGCGGAGTCATTCTTCATTGCGGAGGTATGCTGTCTTGGGAACTTTATCAACGGCGCTGGAAGGATCGCGCGGACTTAGTGGAATGTCGCCGAGATGAAATCAAGTCACTCCACGATGTTATCAACCATGAAAGCGTTAAAAAAGCCAACAAGAGGGAGGGAACGGCGAACAAAGAGGATGTGCTCAGTCCTCTGTTAGTAGTCGTCGAAGACTACATGTTGTCGGAAGAGTTGGTGGTGAATTTTCAAGAAGCAATAAATTATTTGGTAAACAATAAAATCAAGGTTCTCATCGCTTTCACGACACATTCGGTAGATGTTTCTGGAATCTCATTGGAAAAAATTATAACGGACTGGAAAAACCATAAGGACTGCAAAACCATTGTCCAACCAACTCAACCAACTAACGAGCAACTTCTCAATTATATCCAAGAAAATGAAACGCCAACTGCTTTGAACTTGGAAGCGAAGAGTCTGCTTACATCACCCGACCCTTCAGACATAGTCCAAGGCCAAGTCCAAATGTTCGATCGCTGCTCGGGACAACACGGAGGGTACAAATGCAGGGGAAAGAACTCATGTTGTAAGGATGTGTCCGTCCTTGCCTCGCTTCTACTGTCCGTAGCTTCAGATATCACACTCAAACAGGGATCGGGTGAAAAGGTACTAACTGCACTAGTGTCGGATGAAAATATACTGAATAAGTTGAAGAAGACTCTCGGGACGAGAGTGCCGCATGCAAGTGCTGCATGCAAGACGAGCGAAATCGAAGTGCTGCACCCAAGAGATTTCCGTGGATGTGAGGCTGCAGCTGTCATCTCCGTCGACGTCAGTGACGAATGGTTGCTGGAAGTCATCTCCCGCTCCAGGACTCTCCTCAGCATCATCGACAACCTCGATGAACATGAAGACTTGTGGCGGACAATGATGGAAAAAGGATGCGTTCAACCGAAACTTGCGCCCTTCCCGAAAGACATTGAAGACGGGCCAGAGCTCCTGAGGCTTGACGATGCATGGAAATTCCTCAAAGTGAGTCGATTTTTTCCCCCGCTTTTCTATTTTCTAGTCCTAAATCTCTTTGTCTTAAAAATAATATATAATTGTCATATTGTTCTATCGATCAATTCGAGCTGCTCCATGCAGAAACATGGCATGCCAACATACCAACGTGAGTATAGGAATATGAAAGTCCTCATAGTTCGGATGAAAATGTGGCTCATCAACTCATCGTCATCAACGTCAATTCATCTGTACCTATGGCGCCTTAGATTCTTTTGTCAACAGTCATGGCACCCAATGCGCGGAAACCTTTCCCAGCCGCAGATTATCATGCATAGTGGCATTAACCAGCTGAGATTCCAACAGCGCGAAAGAGCACCTGATGCTCGTCACTTATCCTTTAATTCACTTATCCAATTAATTAATCTGCGATTCTCTTTCCTGAAGAGCGATGGTTTTGGGAAATCGCTCTAAAAGCTTGCCTTTATTAATCTCATCCTTTGAAGAGGCCCACCTGGGACGAGGGAGCAAGCCGGATTGGAGAAGCGGCGGTCGGTGCAGCGAATATCCTGGATGAGTCCACGGGTTCCATTTCCATTTCCCTCTTCAAAGAAACATGGGAATACCTCAAAAAAGCAAGGCCCTCTCTTCCCGCATCATCATCTCCTTTCTCCCAATGGGGATACGTTGATAACGGTGAGGAAATGATTGCCTTCAGATGATTAGGTTAAAGGCGCCAACTCGCGAACAGGTTCAAGACATTCTCATCTTGGAAATTGTTTTTACCCTTTCAGATCTGAATTAAGGAAAGGAATGCTATTCTGAAAAGGAATGCTATTCCGCTATCGGAAAAGCATTCCTTTTTTTGCATTTTTGAGCTCTTTCGTGATTGTAATTGAAATTTTCATGCTCTATATGTACATTTCATATTTTGTATAAATTTACCATATCATACCATATATTACATATTATACGTTTAATTAAATAACTGAAGATTACAAGACATGATGAAAAAGGCCTTTGATGGAAATGAGACATGCATAATTGCGCCCATTGTAGCGTAATGTAGAGCTCAAAGTTACGAGAATCCGAAGAAATAGCCATAGACACAATGTAAATACAATGTCCATTGGAATGGACGCCAGGTCTGAAAGGGTTAAAGTTGTTGGGATCATCGAAGAAGCGCGTGTGTCGTTTCAATAGGAGGCCAAATATTGTTCGATATCCATGCATGGATTTTTATTCCCGGTTTGTGGACATCCATGGACACGGTTTTTGGACGAAACCTCATTTTGAAAGCAATCGCGAAATTGGTAGGGCTATAGAGAAACTTAGGCTTGGTATGTGTGCAGCAATTTGTCTTCGTCATCACTGAGATGAGCATCTGAGGAAAAATAGCCCGTTCTTTACGCCTTTTCGTAAGCAAAAACAATAACTTTCCCACCCATCATGGCAAAGCCATCATAGTCAAGAACCCGCTGTGTAATCTTCAATTAAACTAAATTCATGAAGATTTGTTCACTCAAATCACATCTTGAGCGAATAAGCATGTGCAGTTTGTATCGTGGCGAAAAGGCATGCACATGGTATAGAACGGTCAAGCTCTTGAATTTGCCGCTGATACTTTTTAAGATGTGAAAACCACGAAGTCGTCCAGAAATTGTTGTTTGTCCGTGAACTTGGGCCACTACACTACATATATTTGGGAAAAATATGTCGAACAAAAGGTATGAGGAGGGGCTTGCTTCACTAGATGAAATATCATTATTGTCCAAAAAAAAAACTAAAAGTGCTAGAAGGTGCCGAATACTTTATTCCTATGTTGCATGGAAGCAGGAGTCATAATGCGAGAATCTGATCAATCAACTACCTACTGCGACAACTTGCTGACAACTTTGCATCTTAATTATCCAGGGGCATCACCAGGACACGAATAATTGCGACTACCCAGCTGGGCCTCTTCTGTATTCTTTTATTCTAATTTTGACTATTCTGGAATCATTGAACGCCATTGAACCGCTTTCCATTGCAGAGGTTCCTAACTGATAAGTCGCGGTCGACCCTGGGAATGATGTGGGGTTTTGGTTTTGGGTGTCTAGAGTCAAAGACGCACGAAAAACAATTTTTTTTTCTTTTCGTCATGGTATTTCCTGTCATTTTTCTGTCTGTTGGTATATAAACTTCTGTATGTGTTGCTGAGTCTTGAATTAGTCTTTTTTTTAAGTCGCTCGGTCAAATGAATTGGGAACCACTGCTCCAGCAGCAATCCCCATTTTCGATATTGTCCTTCAGAAATGGTGCTGGCATCACGTTTAGCCATCTTAGTCGTTGAGAGGCCCATGCATCATTATCACTAACAATTCACTGGATTATCACAATTAATCGTCTTGAAGTTTTGACATCAGGATTTATTTTAAATAACTACTCTTTCTTTACGTTTGGGTTATGTTTTGTACCAACTTGTAGGAGGAAATAATACCAAGAGTTGCATTCATTACAATTCAAAATGGAAGTCTCACATTCCCATGGTTGGGTATGAGTAGATATTGGAATCATACCAAAAATAACCTCATATCTCCAGTTCTGTCTTCAAATGCGCTTATCTGTCATTACAGGGTGGATGGGGAGAGTGCCTCAATCTGATGACAAGGTCAGAATTCTCGATATCCTCAAAGAAAGAGGAGTTGAGGGAGGGGATGAAGGCCACGCACTCCCATTGAAAATAAGAAAGGAGAATGGAGCCGGGGGAGTGCTGGAGTCCCTCTCCGTTTACCTCACGGGTTCTCTTCTTTTCTACCATCTTCTGCTGGTTAGTGAAAAGTTGTTCAAAAGGACGGTGCTGAAAGGGGTCAAAAATGCAACAGAGATCTTGTTCTCTTTCTATGCAAGTTTTTTTTCATATTTTTTTTGCCCTCCAGTTCCACCTATGTTCTTAAGCCTTATATGATTCAGTGTCACTCCTGCAAGATTTGATTAACTAGAACTCTGTATTAGCATAAACAGATACACACGAACGTAAATGTGATCCTTCCCGCAACACCAGGCTTCTATATGTAATGCAACTCCTAAGGGACTGAAAAAGTTGGGGACCATGCTTGAAATATTTCCTAAACTATGCAAATTCTATGGTGGATTCAACTAAAAATGTAAGAATGTGAAATCGAATTAATTTCAATTTTTCTCGCACACCTTACCAAACAACACAAAATATGTATTACGCTTGAAAACTCCACCAGGAATAGGAGCCACGAAAGCCATGAATGGGCACAAATATGAGAATCCGGTGTAAGCCCAACCTTACCATTCTTACCAACTGTAATCTCAAGGCAGGTTTCACTAGAACGTGAGAGGCGTATCCGCCCATAATGACGTCTCGGGTCGAGGTCAAGCGCTCTGCTAATCATTATTAAAGGTAGGCTTACCTCTTTAGAGAAAAAATTATTTTGGGAGCTTGAAGTTACCATGATCCCCTTTTTCTCATTTCATTTCATCATCTAACTTCAAGTTGCTTCTAGCCTCTTGTAATCTCTAGGGACACGTGTTCTAACCAGCTGAGATAATCTAGAGATAATCTGCTTCCTATAATAAATACGCCAGCACTTGCACCACAAAAGAAGCACCTGACTTACTTTTTTAAAAAAAAAAAACATTCTTCACCATGAAAGCCCAACTTACCTTCAACCAAACCATCCAGCTAACCTCGAAATCCAGTAGTTCGCCCTCCAGCCATTATTTCACCAATTCGAGACGTTTTTCTGCTTTTCAGGAGAAGAGCGGAAAAACGCCTCGCAGCTGTACATCTTTTGATTTCTTCTCGAGCAAATCTTTTAATATTAATTGTGTCAATGTCATAGGTAGGATATGAAGACCTGCGAACATATATCTGGATTGCGACTCCACTTCTAAATGGAGCCGCTCTTCCTTAGTTATCTTATTTGGTACTTTTATGGGCATATTTCTTTAACTACACAGTAAAATGAAGAATGCACAATGACAATTAGCGGAATATTTGTTCGGGACACGCATTGCAGGAATTTCGAGTAATTTCTCACTTCACTATGGTCGAAACAACTGCCACTTGCAAGGTGTTGAAAGATTTTCGACCTATTCACTTTGAGCTCTATGAAAGAGAGTTGTACGTTCAACTTTTGTTCTACTATGGGTTTGGCTATCCTGCAACAGTTGAGACCTACTGCAGGTCCTCATTCCTTAACTCATTCCCTATGCAGAAAGTATTGGGCGAGGAGGATCCCAAGAAACCATATCCTCTACTTCAAAAAGCATCGAAACTCCTCCAGAGGCCAATCGTCCTCATTGGGGAGAATCCCTACGACTCAAGTGAGCCTTCTATCTTTCCCTTCTTTCACATGTATCATATAATATATTAGATATATTACATATTAGATGCTGTGAAAATTTTCTAATATATTAGATGCTGTGAAAAAAACGCGTCTTGTTTGACGCGTATAAAATACGTTGTGGATGATCTAGGTAAGTGATATTTTCATATGACGTTGGGAACGCCACAAAATTTGTTTTCTGAAAGTTTCATGAACCTAATTTGTGTGAATAAATATCGACGGTCGCTCAAAGTGAAGTCATAAAATGGACCTTTTCGCGCACAAGGAAGAGTTTCAGGACCGCTCGAATGATTTATCTACCTTGATGTCATAAATACTGCTTTTTATGCCATTTTTTAATGACAGTTCTACTGTCGCACATTGTAGCATCAGAACCGATACCACGCAGAATACTACGGTGAGAACTGCCGTAAAAAGCGGTATTCGTTACGGTATAAGCGGTATTCACATATTAATTTCTTCATGGAAAACTTTTTTCCTTAGGACACATTTTAAGCTTGCGCCATTACTGGGCTCGCGAAGAGCATGGGACCTCCATGGCAATCTGAGATGGAGCAACCAGCATGAGGATTGAAGCAGTCCTCGATATCGCTCTCTGTTTTATAGGCAAATACCCCGAACATTGAATGAACGACATTATTGGTTGCCACATTGGTCGAAGTTGCCAGGTGGTTATGAACATTTTTTGCATCATCTATTTCTGGGATCTCAGCACGACAGCCAGTTTTCACCGATAGACCCACAGGCGCATCGATCACATCCTTCGGGAATTTTTTAATTCTCCCTTTTCCTTTGTATGCGAGCGACTCACGGCGTACGCGATTGTCTCTACTTCTGGGCTACAACGAAAGACTCAATCATCGCATCAATTTTCATCCTTCTCACTTCAAGCCCATGAATCTGAGCAACAGGTGGAAATGAGGGCGCGACCAGCTTGATTTTTGCTTTCCACGAGCTGCGATGAACTCGGCACCCGCTTCAAATAATAAAATGTTTTCATTTATCATTCTCATGTTTCTCAACGTGACTTCCCTGTGCGTGAGGAAAGCTTACGTTTCTGGTGCACGGAACGTGACGGTGAGACCACAGAATCTTGTTTTTCTCCTATATACCATAAATGGTCAAAATAATATCTGACAATTGACCATTTGCTCACACCTAACGATTCGACGATGGAAAATTTAATTGACCCGCTTTACATACAAGAAGTCATTTGATATTTTTAAAATTGAAATGAATGTGGAAGGAATGTGGAACAATCAGCAAAAGCGAATTTTAAATATCAACGTCCTTGTTCTCCAGGAACCTTCTTCCCCGGAACATTTGCAACCTTTGCAGGTGAGAAACGGAAGGGTGGAATCCTCCTGTTCGGCAGCACCTGCAACGACTCCATCGGAATCCATCCAGTTGTTCCCATGGATAATTTCGAAGGTGATCCGTCTCGTCCACTCTCTTCGAGGCCCATTTTTCCCCCTCTCTCCCGATTCCTCAGTCAGATTTCTGCCCAGTGAATGTCCCTTTTGAATGTCTCATCATACCATTGCCAATGTTTGCTGATTTGAACTGGTGCGTGATTAACCTCGTGAAAGCGCGTGAATTTTACTAGTGAGAATATTGCCTTCCGTCACCTAAAGTAAGCTTTGAAGTAGGATTATGAACCACCCAGAATATATTTGTTCTTTCACTTAAATACCTAATCTATCGGCTGAAATGACATTACGCATTTAATGACATTAACTTATGAGAACGTAAGTACAGTGACCTCCACACCTGCATATAAATAGATGATGAGCAATAGATTTTTCTGTTGCAGACCGTAGATTGAGAGAATTCAATAGCTGTAAATTCCAAAAGACGAGTTTTCCTGTCACGAAAGTCAGGCTATTTTCCTCCTAACCAGCACCAAAATTTTGTTTATGGCTTTGGAAGTACTCTACGGTACT